AGTCATCAAATGCACATTTACCTGTTTGCGTCATGCAGTCAGTTCTGGGAGGGTTTTTCTTTCTTTCTGAAACTGACGGTCTACTATTCAAGGCACAGATTTTCTTCCTTGCGCTTCTTACACTCGAATTAACCTTCAGTTTGGCTGTGTAGGATCTGGCTGCTGTTAGGCAAATATGTTCAAGACTGTTTTATTAAAGAAGTCCTTAAAAGAGAACGTAAAGGTATGAAATAAAGGTAAATTTTATTTTCTCTCCAAATGTGAAGTTGTTTTTCATCATCTTTCATCTCTTGTTAGATGAACAAAAACAATTGTCTTGAAGCAAAAGGTGAAGGTAAGCACAAAACAATAACACTGCATTTTAAATAACATTTTAAAAATTATCAAGTGTATTTTCAGAAGTTTTAAGAGCTAAACCACCTGCCAGAAGTGTTCACTGTTGACAGTTTGAAATAAGTGTTAACTGCCCTGTGATGGAATGTTTGTAACTTGCCACTCTGAGACTGTGCTAAATGATGCCCCCACCTAAAGCTGATGCAGCAGTGTCTCCCAGGGGACAGCTGGATCTGCCCCCACAGAACTGTAGAGTTCAGAGCACCCAAGCTGGTTTTGGAACTGAAGAATCCCTTCTCTGCAGCTAACATAGTTGACCCCTCATACTGAGTAGGGAGCTGGTCGTTCCTGTTTGTAGCATATACATCAAGAGTTGGGAATGCATGGGGTTTATCACAGGGACTCCTGTGACTCAGAGCAATACTGATTCACTCTTGCTGGTTTTTGCTAGAGGACCTTGGGGTTTCTGCAAATACTTACGATTGACTCTGTAGAGAAATGTCAGTTACCGGGAAACATTCTGTAGTCCCTCAAGCTCTTAAGTCAGCTTTAGCCATGCATTCAAATATGTCTTTTTACACCTGTAATTCCAGAACTCAGGATGTGGAAACAGGAAGATCAGGGAGTTTTGAGGGCAGCCTGAGCTACATATGGAGCCTATCTACAAAACAAAACAAAAATATGTCTTAGTGGTGTTGAGAGGGTTTTTAGCGGAAGAACTGTTAGACCAATTGTCTTCTATGTCAAGGAACAATGAGTCACAGACCCTGAGTGGCACTGGCTTCATGCTGTCTTTGGCACTCTGGCAAGCAGCCTGGCTAGCCACCCCTCATCACACACACACACACACACACACACACACACACACACACACACACATGCACGCACACACACATGCACGCACAGCACACACACACACAGGCACACAGTGTGCTGGGTAATTCCAGCTGAAAGTGCGCTCCAGGGACAGACACTGCTTGCTGTGAGAGGACATACCAGGGTCACATTTAGAAGAGTTTCATGCTTATTGCCAGTTACCTGACAAAATATCTCCCCATAGTTTTTGGTAGAGTGGTAGCAATGGTGGTAGTCTGTATGAGTGTGTGGTGTGTGTGAGTGTGTGTGTGTGTGAGGTGTGTGGTGTGTGTGTGCGTATGTGTGCGTGCGTGCTTGCACACTTGCTGGGGGTTAAATTAGGGACCTTGTAAATGCTGGAGAAGTGTTCTTCCACTAAATCCCAGACCGAGATTATTTAACATAATCATGATGGTCTTTATTTGTATAATTTCAAGAATGATTTAGAAATTTTTCTCTCTAACAAGATATGTTTAAGGGTACCTTGTGGTACATTTAAGATTATTCACTAATTTTGAGTTGATAATATTTTTATAATATAGAAATACATATAGTAGCTGGGCGGTGGTGGCGCACGCCTTTAATTCCAGCACTCGGGAGGCAGAGGCAGGTGGATCTCTGTGAGTTCAAGGCCAAGCCTGGTCTGCGGAGCGAGTTCCAGGACAGCCTCCAAAACAATACAGAGAAACCCTGTCTCGAAAAAACAAAACAAACAAACAAACAAAAAAGAAATACATATAGTGATATAACAAGTGATTTGTTGTTGTTGTTTTGAGACAGGATTTCTCTGTGTAGCCTTGGCTGGCTGTCCTGGAACTCTCTCCATAGACTATGCTGGTCTCAAACTCACAGAGATCTGCCTGCCTCTGCCTCTGCCTCTGCCTCTGCCTCCTGAGTGCTGGGATTAAAGGCATGCACCACCACTGCCCAGGCATGATTTTTAACCTCCATGAAACCAAAGATAATTTATACTAACCCTAATCCATCCCAAAGTGGAGTCTCCCTTCTTTGTGGCTGTTTGTTGGCGGTTGCATCTCTTGCCTTAATGGCTGTTTCCCTCGTGCTGATTGTACGCTATTTGCATCCCAGAAATGCATCATTTGATGGTGCCTGAAGTCCACCATTTCTGCATGTTCTGCCCCTCGTGCTACTAAAAATTAATGTCCAGTTTTGTGGCAGCCTTTTAAAAAAGATTTATTTTATGTTTATGGGTATTTTGCCTCCATATATACCTGTGCAGTACACGCACATGGGGTACCCACAGAGGTCAGAATAGGGCATCAGATCCACTGGAACTGGTGTTACAATGATTGGGAGCCACCATGTGGGTGCTGGGAACCAAACCTGCATCCTCTGGAAGAGCAGCAAATGCTTCTAACCACTTCTAGCCTCTCTGGGAATCTTTTGTTTTGTCTAATTTGGTTTTGTTTGGGGTGGGGAGGGGGTAGTGTGTTTTGTTTTGTTTTGAGATGGGGCTTGCTGTGCAGCCCAGCTGGCTTATAAATTGTTAGGATTACAGGCCAGCCCATGCTCCATGTCACTCTGTATCCCAGAAACGTTTTGTTAACTGTCCTCTAGAACTTACCCTAGACTCCGTATCTTTAAGTATGATGCTGTGAGGACCTTAGAGACATGGGTAAAGTGGTGGTCTCTTTTTTACTTTGTTTTTTTCGGGGGGGGAGTTGTTTGCTTTTGTTTTTTGTTGTTTTGTTTTGTTTTTTTGAGACAGCGTTTCTCTCTGTAACCCTGAATGTCCTGGAACTTGCTCTGTAGTTCAGACTGGCCTCAAACTCTGAGATCCACCAGCCTCTGCCTCCCAAATCCTGGGACTAAAGGTGTGCACCACCACCTCCTGGCTCTAATGTGGTGGTCTTTGGCATATTTTTTAATAATTGCATGTAAAGCATCACAACTATTTTATTTTAAACACTATAGTTGTAAAGTGTAAATTATTCAGAGCTTCTAGATTCTCTCTGAATTTTATTTTATTTTATTTTTGGTTTTTCGAGACAGGGTTTCTCTGTATTGTTTTGGAGCCTGTCCTGGAACTCACTCGGTAGACCAGGCTGGTCTCGAACTCACAGTGATCCGCCTGTCTCTGCCTCCCGAGTGCTGGGATTAAAGGCGTGCGCCACCAACGCCCGGCTGAATTTTAATTTCTTAAAAGGACTTCATGCAGTTCTGACTTACCAGTGATGGAGATTTTGGAGCATAAACCTTAAGTAGCACATCTTTGGGATGTACTCACATGGGGAATAACCCACAGTTCAGGGCAGCACGGACAGGTGGGCTCCACTTTGGTTCCACAATAAAGGTTGAAATGAGGTGACAGGTATCATTTTATATCGTTAATGTTGCTTAGCATGTTTCAACCAAATATGTAATAAAGCAAATTTTAATAAACTGGTTGTTAAACTTTCCTATAGTAACATTGTCTAGGTTTTCTATGTCATTGAATGTTCCCTCCTGCCTTCAGATATGACTTGTGAAAAAATTCCAAGGCAAAGTTTTACCAGAATGCTGTCAGAGCATTATTAAAACATCCCAACAGCAGGTGAGGTCCTTGCAGATCTCTGACTTTGTCAATGTGAAAATAAGGACCTCCTCCCTCTGCCCCAGCTTGCCACAGCTGAGGCTGCCCTGACCAGGGGCTTGTGCTGGTCCTGTGAGTGGGGGCTGCATGCTACCTGTTCTCATTTAGGAGCTTTAGTTAAATGACCAAGGGTTAGTGTTACAAACTGGTCACTGCAGAGGACTTCACTGGAGGACTCCTAGCAGCAGAGCCCGATGTCTTCCTTTGAAAGCAGTTGTGGATGGAGTGAGGGCGTTGTGGCATCCTCACAACCGGGGTCTCAGGCACGTAATAATCATAGTTAGGAGTACTGCTAATTCCAGGGTTAAATTACTTTTCACCTGGAAATGCAAGGTAAATTTCCACTTCAGTAGTTTCTAAATAGCCTTTAAATGACTCCTGTACAATACTGTTTGGAATATAGTGCAGTTTGCTTGTAATCCAAACATTCAGGATGTAGAAGTTGGAGGATAAGGAGTTACTTAGAGAGTTTGAGGTCAGCATGAGCTGAGAGTCTGTCTCAAATAAAAAATGCTGTTTTAAGTGTATCTTTAAATTTTGGCACTTAATAGTTGTTGATTTCACATAGAAAAACATGAAAATTCTTTGACAAGAAGCTAAGGAATGTTCTTCTTTTTTAAAAATATGTGACAGAATGTTACATTGTAGCCCAGACTGGCCTTAAATTCACGATCATCCTGCCTTAGCCTCCTGAGGAAATTTCAAGATTATAAATTTTCAGATGATTATGCCTCATTGTTGGCCTCCTAGGAAGTTGGCTAAAATTCTAGTCTATTCAAAGGCAAACATTGTTTTAATAAGTAGAGGACTTAGGCATTGGTCTTTTAATATGAGAAACCAACAGGAAAAAAAATACTCATTAGTGAAAACCTCAGCAACTAGAACACAGAATTGTGAAATGAGCAGTTTTATGTAATCTAGCTTTTTAAGAAATCAGTGTAACACAGGCCAAAAGTTCGGTGTGCCTTTCAGGTGAGCAATGTGGTGATGTGTGTGTCTCTACCATCCCTGGCCTCCACTGAGCCAAGTGTTGGTCCCTGAGACTGGGCAGATTAGCCATCCCTGTGTTTCCTCGGGTGTCCTGTCTAGGACTGCATGTGACAAGCCGTACACATTTTCCATGAAAGCTAATTGCAGCACGAGATTTACAGTCTAGTGCGAGGGAGGCCAACCTCACAGCTGTTCTCATTTTTGCTCCGCCTACTCCATTCATTTCTAGGCTTTTCTGTGGATAGTCCTCAGCCTTCTCCCTGCAGCCAGAAGCGCCACCTGAGCCTGAGCCCTGAGCCTCAGGCCTCTCTGAGCACAGCTGAGCAGGGCCCATCCCCTGTTCTAAGCCCTGTCCTCAGTACTGCCAGGACGGACAACCAGGAAGACCAGAGACACAAGGTGGGCCACTCTTAAGACTGACGGTGCTGCTGGGTGTAAGCCCCAGGTGGGGAGCCCCGGGGTGGGCAGGAAAAGACTGCTCACACCCCATCAACAGAACCCCCTTCTGAGACACTCTGTCACTCTTAGAAGTCAAGGCTGCAGGTGCACACATCCCCTTATTTGTGTAACGGGCCACTTTGGCAGCCATGGGTTCCACGTGTTAGGCTGATCCTGAAGCTAAGCGGGAAGGGACAGGCGGTTTCCCTGCAGGAGCTGCGGCCTCTCCCCTTTTGTCTGCCCCCTCCCTGTTCCTTCCTCTCCCCTTGTTTACAGGTGAGTAACTTGAAGATGGGCTTGCAGAAGGAAGGTTGGCTGGGGCTCAGGAAGAGCTCATGTGAGAGACTTCCTGGATGAGAAGGGGATCAGACAGACGTTAGATACAGCAGTGCCTGAAGTGGGAGGTCCTGAGCTTTGTGACAGGACATGACATGGTGTTTCTGTAGTTCTCTGTAGTGAGAGCACATATTGAAATAGATGGTACGGAACGAGCAGGCAGAAGATTCCCCCTTACTCATAGGTGTCAGGGACAACCAGTTCACCATAAGGTCGCCAACCTGGGGTTATAGCTTTATAGGCAATCATGAAGAGTGGTCTGGGAGAGGGAACAGACCTAAAATAGAAGCCATTGTGCTCTCTTAGGAGCCACAGCGGGATGAAGTGGGGTTTTGAGCATTAGCCGGGGGGGGGGGGCAGCAGGGGGTGCATGGGGGGCCTGTCTTAGCACCATCGCAGAGAAGTGCCATTCTTACAGCACCTGTGCTCCCCATTTGCATTTGCTCTCTGTCCCTGTAAATGTAACAGGAACACTGAGCAACGTATGAAGACACAGCTTTTACTCTGTAGAAAAGCTGACTTGATGGGAGCTCATGCTGAAACACAGTCACTTATTTCATGGCCAGGACATGAAATCCCACTGGATCCCTTTGGGGACACACCTGCCCCCAGTGTCCCAGAGTACTCCCACTAGGTCCTACAGGGTCCCATCTGAAATTCACCACCTTCCCATAGTGATACACTGGAGACCAATCATTTAAACATGTAGGCCTTTAAGAACAAATGCAAACTATAGCAAGATTTTAGCCCAATTATCCAGAAGATTGCAGGGTCTATAGGACATTTGAGATGCCTTAGCAGCGAGGACAAGACCCATTTCCACATGGTGTGAGGCAGGCTACTCCTTTCTCTGTGCCCAGGGAGCCTTTAGGACCCCATTGTGACTGGGAGAAGTCCTTTGCCCCAGACGAGGGAGATGGTTACAAAGTGGCTATCCTGGAGGGCTGCAGGCAAGAGGTGATCTACTCCCAGGGTTACAGATCAGCGGGCAATGATCACCCATACTTCATTGGCCACTTTGCGTTTGGTATGAACACAATCGTCTTATGGTCATTTTTATTTATTTTGGAAACAGTCTCTTTAATCATTTCCTTGGTACCAAAAAAAAAAAAAAAAAAAAAAAAAAGGATCGAGGGAGCTATTTTTAACACTGATGTTACCACATTACAAAAAGACAAAATGAAAAAGGTAGTTGATTTTTCACCTGGGATGGTTGAGCTCACAGTGTGTAGCCCTAAAAGAAGGTGTCTGTCTGGTCATCATAATACAGCCTGGAAACAACCACCTTCCTAGGCCCTGTGGGGAAAGCATTCCCAGATGCATGCTCTCCAGGGGTTGGCAGCTGCATCACCAAGCAGGGAGATCTGCAGCAGCCCTTTGAGGTTCAGCTCCGCTCTGGAAACTGTACCGTCCCAATACCTAAATCTACCTAATGAAGCCAGGGTCCAGCATAGCTAAGTTCCTGGGCAGCACAGACAATCCAGTCCATCACTGAGCCAGAAGTCACCGCAGCCTGACCTGAAGGTAGCCTTCCCTCAGAGTCTCCTACTGTTCCGACTTTATAAACCACAACCCCTGATGACTCTCCTGAAGAATCTGGGTAATGTCCATTCCTTGGTTGCGCATATGGGCATGAGTTAGAGATGGATTATCCCTCCTATGCCCAGGCTTGGTCAAGCCTTTCTCTGGCAGCTCAGCTGTGTGGAAGGATAAGGAGTGGATGGCCCTCCAGGCCTGCTGGTGGGAGCAGGACAGCCTGTTTCCCTTTGTTCCACTGTCCTCTACTTAATGCAATTTTAAATTGTATCTTAGGTATATGAGTGTGTTTTGTTTGCATGTATAAATGTGTTCTACATGCATGCAGTGACCACAGAGACAGGAAGAGAGCACCAAATCCCCTGGAAATGGAATTACAGCGGCTGTGAGCCACATGTAGATGCTGGGAATTGAACCCAAGTCCTTTGGAAGAACAGCCAGTGCTCTTAATCACTGAGCTGTTTCTCTGGCCTCACATAGTGTGGTTTTTTCCCCCTTCCTTTTTAATAGAGGTGGGTGAAGATCAACAGTATTCAGAAGGCAGGATTGCCAAAAGATGGCGGAAGCGTTTTCCTTGTGCTTGTGTAGGTCTGAGAGAGAGTGCTGTCCTGTAGTGATAGGTGGTGAAGATGGGCACCGGTACTGCCCCCTAGGCTGTCCCCATCCCCATCCACCTGCTCATCCACCATACCCAGCAGGTCAGCTTGCCTGGGTTTGATTTGATCATTCTGTAACAGGGCAGGACAGTTGGCGGCGTGTCACCGTCGGTGGCACCTGAATAGTTTTCACTGATGTGCTTGGGACTCTGTCACACGGTGAGGAGCTGGTCTGGATCTCTGGACCTGGTTTCTACAGCACATGCAGAGTTAGGATGTGCTTTAGGGTTTCAGACAAAGAGAATTGCCATTATGAGGCCATCTTCCCTGACCTGTTGGCCCCAGGCCAAGGCCAGAAGTGTGCAAAACTAGCAACCAAAACCTCTGTCCTGCTGTGGGGAAAACTGGAGTCACCCAGCTCTCCCTGCTGAAAGTTCATGACATACGTGTATCAAGCCAGTGGGAGATAAAGACTATTTTTTAAATGTCATTGGACTTGAATTTTTAAAAATGTTTTATGGCACAGAATACAAAAAATGTGGACGGTTGTAAAAATAGGTGAGCTGTTCTGCTGGGGGGAAAGGCCACACTCCAGGAACAACACGAAGACACCAAGGGGTGGGACCAGGGGCCCAGGCATCATTTGAGAAGAGCTGATGGAGACATTGCACATGACTCCTGGGGAGAGGATGGCAGAACTTGGCTCTGAAGGATGTTGGCAGTATGGATTACAGTGGTGTGTCCCTCTGATGAGTAGAAGGCACTACATTCCTTGGGATCCAAGGCACATAATGAACACTGCTCATGACTCCTTTATTCCAGGGACTGTGAGAGAACATTGCGGTCTGCCTTGAACTAAGTCAGAAAAGACGATGTGGACCCCAAACATGGGCCTCTGGTGGGATCATTGTGGACCCTTGTTTCTCGTTATGCAGCCTGTGAAGCGTACTGCAGGCTATCGGGATGCTAAGTTAGTCTGTTCTTCCTCCCAGGACTACCTCAGCCTTCCCATCTCTGGTGGTGACCGCTGATCTTTCCCTTGGCTTAGGCCAGAGTTCCTTGCAGTCATTCTTGCTGTCTCTGCCAGCGCCATCTCATGGGGCTTGTGCAGAGGCCCCGAGGCTCCCGTCTGCCCCCAGGTCTGCTTGAGACCTGCGTGCACACACATCACAGTTCGTTCACATTGACCCCAGCACTCAGGAGGTCAGGAGGCTCTCCCCCCCCCCGCCACACACACACTGTCCTCATCCCCTTCTGTGCCTTGGCCTCTGTCCTGTTTGCTGGCCCATCCGACCCGCTCCATGTGAGTTTGTGGCCTGGCCACGCTCTTCCCAGCCTTCAGCCCTTTCTGCCCTGTACTCTCCACGGGGGGAGGGGCGGGGGGCATTCTGCCATGGTGTGCAGCCCCTCGCTGGGCAGACAGCCCTGCTGAGCTCCTTAGACAGTCCACCGTAGGTCCTGTACTAGCAAGCACGAAGGAAGCTTCTGGAAGCCGTGCCTGCAGCTAGACCTGGAGTCTGCTTCCATGCTAAGAAAGTATGTCAGCCAGCTCAGCAGCGGCACAGGCATGCTCAGGGTAGATACTGGTAATTTGTTGTTGTTGTTGTTACTTTTATGAGGTAAGTGGAATTATTCTTTTAAAAAAATGTCATGCTGAGCCATATCTCCAGCCCAAGTTTAATTATTTTAAACATATACTTACTTTTTTATTGTTTTTTGTGTGTCTACTTTGCCTGCATGTATATATGTGTACCATGTGCATGCTGTATCTACAGAGGCCATCAGGTTCTCCTGGAACTGGAGTCATAAGTGGTTGTCTGCTGCCTTGTGAGTACTGGGATTTGAACCTGGTCCCCTGGAAGAGCATCCAGGGCTCTTAACCACTGTGCCATCTCTCCAGCCCTTAACTACTGCATACATGTCTAAACATTCACTCGTGGTTCTTTATCTTATAGCCACCTTCATCGCTGGCAGTGATAGACCAGTAATAAGCTTCGGTTCTGTTTTCATATATTAATTATTTTCTTCAAAGAATAACAAATGAGCCGGGCGTGGTGGCGAATGCCTTTAATCCCAGCACTCGGGAGGCAGAGGCAGGCGGATCTCTGTGAGTTTGAGGTCAGCCTCGTCTACAGAGTGAGTTCCAGGACAGACTCCAAAACAATACAGAGAAACCCTGTCTTGAAAAAACCAAAATAAATAACAAATGAGGGGAAAATGTTGAGAGAAATGTAGCTGGGCTTAATTGGATGTGTTTATTTACAAGTAAATCTCCCAGCTAGAGAGATGGCTGTGTAGTTAAGAGTCCTTGCTGATCTTGCAGAGGACTTGGATTCAGTTTCCAGCGTCTGCATCAAGTGGTTCGAAAGCACTTGTAACTGAAATCCAATGACCTCTTCTAGTCTCTGCAGGCACTTGTACACATGCGTTACACAGACAAACATTCAGAAATACACATATACAAACAAAGTAAGTCTTTTACAGTAAATCCCTGTAGGAATTACGGCAGCAATTTCCAAAATACTGTTCAGCTGAGCATAACATGTTACAACACCGGCTCTCCTGTTGTAAAAGGGTAGTGTGTCCCCGGAAGTACGCTCACAGCTCTCTCTGCCTCTTTCAGCACATGCCAGAAGACAAGGCCTATTTCATAGCCAAGGAGATTCTCGCTACAGAACGAACCTATCTGAAGGATTTAGAAGTTATTACTGTGGTATGAAACCTTAGTCCTTGATCGCTTTGAGTTCCTTAATATGTTTTGGATATAAACCCAGAGGCACCATCCTGAGACAAGTCTCAGGCCGTCTTGAGACTTTTGTAAATTCTGTTGAATATGCTTGCCTTACAGCACGTGTCTAAGTCACGTTAGATCGCTAATGTCTTAAGTCCACACAAGGCAGTAGAGCTTAGAATGTCTCTGTCCAAAAGCTTTGATTAGAATTGTTTTGTTTATATCTGAAAATAATACAGTCAACAAAGAGGATACGTGGAGGACTGGGTTAGGCCGTCTTTAGAAGCTGGAGGAACTTTGCTGGATGTCATGAGGTCACGAGCCTTCAGAGGCGTGGTCTTTCAGTTCTCAGCTGAGCCTCTCACGCCTGCTGCCCCCACAGTGGTTCCGAAGTATGGTGATCAAGGAGGACGCCATGCCTGCTGCCCTGATGACCCTGCTCTTCTCCAACATTGACCCAGTCTACGAATTCCACAGAGGCTTCCTGCACGAGGTGGAGCAGAGACTGGCACTGTGGTAACGTACCGTACACCAGATGTCTCCTTGGCCCCCTCCACAGGAGACTCCCGCTTTCTGAAACCTCCATGTGGACGGCTGTCCTTGGCCTCCACCGCACACACCCGGCTCCTTGGCCTGGGTGCCTGGAAAAGCAGTCCCCAAGTCTTGAACTCTCTCTCCTTGGGGAGTGCCCACCCTTGACACCATCACTTGCCTCAGGAAGTCCCCATCTTCATGAACTAATTTAGAACAACCATTATTTCATTGAAGTGTATTTCAAAATCCTATTGGGCGAGGTAGAATCAACTCCAATAACAATAAATCTTATTTATCCTATTCCAGAAAAAAGAATAGAGAAGCAAGTTAAAAAGAAAAAAATTCTGTTTTCACCTGGTTACCATCATAGAGAAATGCAGTCGTTGTGGCTGTCAAATTGAGTACTTTCCACCAGCAAACACCTCACGACTGTGACTGTTGGGTATAGTGACACGCCTGTAATTCCAGCACTAGGGAGACAGAGACAGTTCGAGAATCCCATGTGGGGCCAACTTCATCTACACAGTCAAACCCTGTCTCAAAAAAGGAAAAATGACTATGACCACAGCAACTTGCTACATGAAATCATGGTATTTTCTGTAAGCTTCCACGGGGTTTATAAGCCTTCTTCCTCCTCTAATCCAGGGAGTTGCCCTCCAGTGCCCAATTAAAGGGTGATCATCAACGAATTGGGGACATCCTCCTCAGGAACATGCGTCAGCTAAAGGTAAGACAGGTTTGTGTGGTAACTCCAGGCCGAGCTTGGAAGCGGTGAAGGAAGCGTCTATGTTGTTCTCAGAACAGTATTCCTCACAGCAGCATTCCCAAGAACACGTTCATCTCCTCATTCTCCACAACAGGGCTCCCTCAGAAGAGGGTTCTTGTCTGCCCAGTGCCTGCCTGAACGGTCCACTCAGGACAGGGCTCTCTGAAGAGCAGCATTGTTTCCAAAACTGTTCCCTGAACAGCATTCTACATTTAATAGTGTCCCTCAGAGCAGTTGTCTCAGGGATTTCCTTCAGGGCAGGATCCTCCCCAGAACATGGTTCCCTAGAGGCCTAGTGCTCACAGAGTCTCTTCAGAACAGACCTTCTTCGAGCAGGGTCCCCTCAGAGCTGCCTGTCCCTCAGAGTGTAATTCCTAGCAAGGTTCCCCTCACAACACCAATCCCCAGAACAAGGTTTCACCTAAGAAGACATGCTTCAAACAAAGGCCTCTCAGAAAATGATGTTTTCCCCAAGAGAGTATTTCCTACAGAGCAGCTCTCCTCAGAATATGGTTTCAGGAGGGGCTTGCTCGGTACAGCTTCCCTTCAGCACCACCTCCCCCTAGGTTTCCCTTCAGAATGTCTTCCCCTCAGTAGTATTCCCTAGCGTGGCCTTACCACCTCAGAACTGCTTTTTTCTAAGCATGGTTCCTCTCAGCACCGGGTTTCGTAGAATGTGTTCTCCTGGAAGGGCAGACCCCTGTGTCTCCTCTCAGAATGTTGTTCACCAGAGTTACGGCTCCCTCCTGCTGCAATGTTCCTTCAGTGCAGTGTTCTCAGAACAGCGTCCTGGGCTGGGTGATTGCACAGTGGTTAGAGCACTTATAGCACCTGCAGAAGACCTGGGTTGGGTTCCCAGCACCCACATTGTGTCTTACAGCCTGTAACTCCTGTTCCCGTGGGCCTGGTACCCACTTCTGAGAGGGCATGGGGGTGTACACCCTTAATCCCAGCACTTGGGGGGTAAAAGCAGGCAGAGCCAGGCCTACATAGAGAAACCCTGTCTCAAAAAACACCATGTGCATGCGTGCATGCGTGCGTGCATGTAAGAAGGGGGAAGGAAATGAGGCTTTCCCCCAGGAAGGGGTTCCTCAGAATACATTCCCCTCAATATGATTTATCTTTTTCTCCCTCCCTCAGAAATGAGTTCCCTTCAGAATGGGGCGTACTGCTCACAGAATTTCTCTGAAGGGTTCCTCATAGCAGGGTTCCCTTCACAATACGTTTCCCAGAGCACTATTTCTCTTTACAGTTTCTTTCTTTTCATTTTTGTTTGTTTGGTTGGATTTTGGTTTAACCCTGGCTGTCCTGGAACTCATTTCATAGACCAGGCTTGCCTCTAACTCACACAGATCCACCTGCATCTGCCTCCCAAGTGCTGAGGTTGACAGTGTGCCCTGCCACCGCCTGGCTACTAAATATCAGCATTTCCTGCTACTTAAAGCAGTGTCCCCCAGGGAAGGTTCCTCTGGGAATATCATTGTCCCAAGACATTTCCCTAGACAGCTTAAAACAGTGCTCCCCAGAATCAGGCTTTATTCAGAATATCTTTCTCTAGCACACTTACCCTCAGGACAGAGTCCTCTAAACAGGGCTCCCGTCAAAGCAGTCACCCTGCAGCAACACTCCCTCTAGAGAAGTGGGTCTCAGAACACGCTTTTTCAGCTTAGCATTACCCCAACAGGGTCTCCTAGGATCATGCTCTTTCCAGCACAGAGTCCTCAGAACACAGTGCCTGAAACGGAAGTCCCCACAGCCATAGTTACCTTTCCAGCCGGGTAGCCCTTAGTGCAGGGACCCCTTCAGAACAGCATTTCCCAAAACATGGTTGCTCGCCCTCTCCAGTGACTGAGTGGGGCACCGAGCCTGGGCAGAGGGAGCTGAAATGGGGTTTAGTTCTCAGTGTGTCCATAGGCGAGCTCCAGCTCCCCTCGCCTCTGAGCTCCATTCTTTGTCCACAAATGGAGGAAAGGCCCGTGGCCTTCCACCACATGAGAGCGCGGGGAGGGATCGGTGAGCAAGGGCCGTGGTGAGGACCAGCTGTGGAGGAGCCCTGAACCCTGGGAACGGAATGAGGTACACAGTGTGGTAGAGTCTACGATGGGGAAAGATGGAGTCCTGTGTAAACAGAAGCTTGGCTTGTACCTACCATACTGTGCATCCCCGTGTGCCCCGTCGGCATTTCCTGCTACTACGTGAGGTCGGCACTGGGGCTCTTCCGGGCAGACAAGCCGCCTTCCTTCCCGCGGACACTGCCCCATCCTCCCATCATGTCTCTTCACCTGAGCGGTGTCCTTTCGTGCCTCAACAGGAGTTTACCAGCTACTTCCAAAGACACGACGAGGTCCTCACAGAACTGGAAAAGGCCACAAAGCACTGTAAAAAGCTGGAGGCTGTCTACAAAGAGTTTGAACTCCAGAAGGTCTGCTACCTGCCTCTCAACACATTCCTGCTGAAGCCGGTCCAGAGGCTCGTACACTACCGCCTGCTGCTGAGCCGTCTGTGTGCGCACTACTCCCCTGGACACCGTGACTATGCCGACTGCCACGGTGGGTGAGGGCCTTGTGCTTGTGCTCTGAGGGTGGGCGGGAATTGTGGGCTGGGAGGGAATTGTGGGCTACACGTTGTACCCAAAGGGCTGGCAGCCCCAGTGCTCACAACTGCCTGTCCGCACTGCCTCTTCTCAGCTGATTCAGGACCTACCTTTTCTGTTCCCTGGCACAGTCTTTCTCAGCCTCATCACCTTCCTTAGGGTGGAGTACTGGGACCAAGGTGGCCTTCTCCTGTCAGGGCCACTTACACAAGGGCACTGCCAGAAGGGCATATCCCAGAATGACCTCTTTCTTGTGGGTGTTTCTGTCCTGGAAGACCTGACTCTAAACTTTAGCAAATATTTGAGCCAAGCAGCCTGTTGGAACTTTCTGGCATATGTGAATCATATTTTTTTGTTAGAGGGGCAGAAAATGAATTTTAAATCCTGTTCATTTACAAATAGAAATTTTAGTTATAGCATAAATTTAATACAAGAAGATTCTGTCTATAAGTCATTGAAATTATTGCTAAAATATAATTAGCTGGGAGTGGTGACTCATGGATGTAATGTAATCCTAGCTACTTAGGAGGTTGAGGCAGAAGGGTCACTGGAGTCCAGGAAGGAGGGTCACTGGAGTCCAGGAAGCAGGGTCACTGGGGTCCAGGAAGGAGGGTCACTGGGGTCCAGGAAGGAGGGTCACTGGAGTCCAGGAAGGAGGGTCACTGGGGTCCAGGAATTAGGGTCACTGGGGTCCAGGAAGCAGGGTCACTGGGGTCCAGGAATTAGGGTCACTGGAGTCCTCTGGAGCTGGAGTTACGGCTGGTTATGAAATGTCATGAGGGTGCTGGAAACTGAGCCTAGAACCCTCTCTGCTGAGGAGTTATGTTCCCAACCACTGAACCATTGCTACAGCCCAGGCTTGCAGAGGTAGAACAAGGCAATGCACACACTCAGAATCTGCAGGCTGCAGCTACCATGGCTCTTGTTCAGACTGGTGACATCGCTCAGGTCCTGCCTGGCATTTTCAATGCTGTGTACGCAGCATCTATAGAATAATATGTTTATGATTTGTCAATGATGATTTCGTGTGTGTTCCCCTCTTAATTTGCTTTTGCCTCTGAAAGCTACAAGCCTCTATAAGGAACTCTAATTGTCCTGGGATCCCGTGAAGTCCCTGTCAGCGTGGGACTGAGAATAAGGGGGTGTATTCAGGGCTGGAGACCTGGTCAGGCTGCTGGTGGAGGGGAACCACAAGTGAGAGGCACAGCAGTCAGGCAGGGGGGTTCCATTAAAAGGGGGACCCAGGGGCTGGAGAGATGGCTCAGTGGTTAAGAGCACTCTCTGCTCTTGCAGAGGACCCGAGTTTGGTTCCCAGCATCTATTCCAGGTGGCTTACAATCTCCTGTAACTCTAGCTCCAGGGGATCCAGTGCCCCCGTCTACACGCCAAGGGCTTCTGCACTCAGGTGTGTGCATAACCACATACAACCACACACATTTACATGACTAAAAATGAAACTCGTTTTAAAAGAGATGAGAGCGGTCCCCATGAGTGGTTCCAGCAGGGAAGGCGGTCACCGCATAGGGGCAGCAGAGGGGCAGGACTGGGTAAGCGGCTGTTTCTAGACAGCACCACCTACTCAGGGCTAGTGTTGAGTTCATGCTCACCCTAGTGAGTTTCCTTTATTGACCTCTTAGATTTGCTTCCGCTATAGGTGGGCATCTGTTCCAAAAACGAAGTAAGTTACTTCAGCTATTTACGGCACAATGGCCTGTTCTCCTTCAAGAACTATAGTGTTTTGCCTTGTTTATAGAATCTGCCCTTTTCTCACCAAGCTGGCCCCTTGGGTTCAACAGAGTCAAAGCTTCCCGGGACTGTACTTGAACAGGAGCTTATGCCAGTGGGAGTCTGCGGTCCCTCAGGTTAAAGCCATCTATAGAACACTGGCTCTCTCCCTAGGCAGAGAGTGGGGGAGTCTTATTCAGGGGTCTGAAGTGAGGGGTCTCTCCACACAGAGGCACTGCAGGCCATCACAGAAGTGACCACCAGGCTCCAGCACAGCCTTACCCGGCTAGAAAACCTGCAGAAGCTGACCGAGCTCCAGCGGGACCTGCTCGGCGTAGAGAACCTCATCGCTCCTGGAAGGGTAGGTGGCTGTGCTTGGGAAAGATTTTATGTCTGTTGTCTTTAATTGAATTTTATTAAACGTAGCGTAAAGCTCACCTTTCTAAAGTACGTAATCCAGTGGCTTCCAGTGTACCCACAAAGTTATGTAGTCATCATCGCTAATTGGGAACATTTCCATTACCCCAAAAAGAAACCCCAAAACCAACGCGTTAATGGTCAGACCCATTCTGGTAGTGTACAGTGTAGCCAAGCCACCCACCAGTGCTGGGAGGCTGGAGGAGGCGTAGTAGCATTGGCTGGTGGTTCACATCTCTAACCCCAGCAACTGGGGCTGAGGCAGGAGAGTTTGAGGCCAGTTTAGACTGCATGGTGAGACTCCACTCCAGAGATCTGAGATGGAGAGCAACAAATTAATGCTTGTAATATTTCTTCCCTTCTCTGAGTTGTCCCTTTACCCTCACTGGTTACATCACTTATAACAATGAAACTTTTCATTTTAATGACGCTCAAGTTATCTTTAGTTATTCATACCTTAGAGTCATATACGAGGAAATATTTCCTAACCCAAGATTAGTCACCTGTTCGTTTTTAGTTTATTAGTTTTTTGTTCTTTTTTTTCATTGGCCGGGTCTCATGTAACCCAGGCTGACCTCAAATTCACTTGTATTCAAGGGTGACTTGAACTTCTAGCCCTCCTGCCTCCACCTCCTGAGTGATAGCATTGCGGTGTGCCCCATGGCACTCGGTTTATGTGACACCAGGGATAGCGCATGGTTGCCTGGCGTGCACCAGCTGAGCCGCGTGCCCCGCCTTCCAGCCGCTTCGTCCATTATCCTTCGCACGTGGCTGTCAGGCTACCCTGGCACGTGTCGAGTTGTCCCCCGTATAAAAGTTAAAAGCCCCGTCGATGTGTGGCCTTCTTTCTGGACATGCAGTTCTGTCCCAAGGGTCCGTGTGTCCTGTCATCTTTGTACCACACTTGGTACTTTGGAGACGAGCTTAGTAACTGGCCCTACTAAGTACTACGTACTGCACAAGTTCACAGACAGGAGGCAGACCTTCCTGTCTCCTAGGGAAATGTCTGCTAGGGCTGTTCATCTTACGTCAGTAAGCATGCATGTAGTCTTCGTTTGTGTGCCTTACTTGGTGTCAGGAGGGCTGTCCCCGCCCAGGCTTCCGTCATTTTGTTCAGATTGCCCTCCCTTGACTTTGTTTGTTTTATTTTGAGACAGGGTCCCACTATGTAGCCTAGGCTGGCCTGGAACTACACTGTGTAGACCAGGCTGGCCATGAACTCACAGAGATCTACCTGCTTCTGCCTCCTGAGCGCAGGGGTTAAAGGCGTGCGCCACCACACATGGCCCCTTGACTTTGTAAGCCTTTGCGACAATAGGGCTTATTCTTTAGTGCCCCAGTGCGGGGCAGCTAACCCAGGGATTGTAGAGACTGTCCCCTCCTCATACCTGCTCTGCCCAGCCTTCCCACAGAGAACTGGGGAGACTCCTCATGACCTAGTCTCGCAGTGCCCCCACTAGAGAGCGCACCTCTTGGTTCCTTTGTCTCAGGGCAGGCAGATGGCTGGGCACCAAGTGGGCACCAGGACAGGACTTGGGTAGTTGGGGTACATTTGGAGAGTAGGATGACTCCCACAGAGGGCTGCCATTCAGCAGGGCTTAAGGAGACCAGAGGGGCTGGCAAGACAGCCCAGCAGGAAGAGGCAGTGCAGGCCTGACGCCCTGCTTTGCTCCTACAGCCCACAAAATGACAGGAGAGAACCAGTCCTGAGGTTGTCTTCTGACCTCCACACGCACGCGGGGGCATGTGCACACAGGCGAGCGAGCTAGAGGCTGGCTCCCGTGACCTGTGGCCCAGTCGGCACACGTGTGTTGCAGTCTTGCTTACAGGACCCTCATTACCTTTCAGGAGTTCATCCGGGAGGGTTGCCTTCACAAGCTCACCAAGAAGGGCCTGCAGCAGAGGATGTTTTTTCTGGTATGTTCCCCTCTGTGCCCCACACTGCATTTCCATTCTGGGAGGAATCCGTGGGTCAGATTCTGTCGGGAAAGTTAGCGCTCCGCAAGAAGCTTCATGCCAGCTCAGAGTCACCTGGGAAATCAGGAGGTCTCTTGAGAGTGAGCAATGGGAAGCGGTTGCTTGGCCTGCACTGCCCGCTTGCTCCTGTCCCACATTCTGGGAAGACAAGCAGAGCCAACGTAGAGATGTCCACATGGCTATAGGAATGTTCTGGCAGCCCATCGGCAGCCAGGGTGACTCAGTGCTGGCCTGGAAACATGGGGACAGAGGAACTGACCATGTGTCCTCATCTTACCGGGTTTCTTTACCAAGTGCCCCAGACTTACGCCATGCAGGTGAGGAGCTGACTGTCTGCACCAGCCAGAGCTCCTGGCTGCTTCTACCAGCTAGTCCAGACCAGATACCAGAGGGGACTGGGGACTAGCCCCCCAATTCTGCCAGTCCATGTGACTACTACATATGCCTCATCCAAAAGGATCAAAAGAATGCATTCTCCCCCAGCAATCTCTAGTTACTTCCATAGATCTGGTAGACACACCATGGCCATCTGTAGTTCATCAGAGTCTAACTATATCTATATTGAAACTTTGTCCCTTGTTTGTACAATTCACTTATCTGTCCACCGCTCAGTTCTCAGATATGTTGCTGTATACAAGCAAGAGTGTCACAGGGGCCAGTCATTTCCGAATCCGTGGCTTCCTTCCTCTATGCGGCATGCTGGTGAGTGCTATCAGCCTACCTGAGGTTCGGTGTTTGGGTACTGGGCTGGGCTTCTGTTCAGCCTCCCTCATACGATGGCAAGGCTGAGGTCTCCTTCAGTGGTGAGCAGGCCACGTGACACTAAGGGGATCTGTTGGGCTTGTCTTGTTCTGCTTCAACTTCTCATGGCTGCTGTTCTTCCTGACTGCTGGACTGCACCATATTCAAGCCACGGCAGCTTTCCCGGCCAGTCTCCTCCAGCACCTAACGTTGTTTGCCCGCTTTACCCACAACTTGGAGTGGGTTTGGGTTGTCAGCTGTTTCCCTGCTTAAGAGCTGCAGAGATGGCTGAGCAGTGAGGAATGCTTGCTGCTCTTCCAGAGAAGACAAGTTCAGTTCCCAGCACCTGTAAGTCAGGCGCTAAGGGACTCACTGCCATCTGTGAGCATACACACACAGTCACATACACAGACACTCACACACACAGGCACACACACAGACACTCACACACACACACAGGCTCACACAATACTCTCACACACACAGACACACACACAGGCATACACACACAGACACTCACACACACACTCACACAGGCACACACACATACCCTCACACACACAGGCACACACACATACTCTCACACACACAGGCACACACAGAGACACTCAAACACACACACAGGCACACACACAGGCACACAACATACTCACACACACAGGCACACACACAGACACTCAAACACACACACACAGGCTCACACACATACTCTCACACACACAGACACACACACAGACACTCAAACACACACACAGACACTCAAACACACACTCAAACACACACTAACACACAGACACTCACACACACAGACACACACACAGACACACACACACACACTCACACACACAGACACTCAAACACACACACAGGCACACACACACAGACACACACAGAGACACTAACAGACACACAGACAGAGGTACATACACACTCACACAGGTGCACACACACACAGAGACACTAACAGACACACACACAGAGGTACATACACACTCACACAGGTGCACACACACACAGAGGCACACAAACACACACTCACACACACAGGCACACACACACAGACACACACACAGAGGCACACAGAGACACTAACAGACACACACACAGAGGTACATACACACTCACACAGGTGCACACACACACAGAGACACTAACACACACACAGAGGTACATACACACTCACACAGGTGCACACACACAGAAGCACACAAACACACATCTTTAAAAACTAAGAGCTGGAGATGGCTCAGCACTTAAGAGCACTGACTGCTAGCCCAGGTTTGACCCCCAGCACACACGTGGTGGCTCACAACCCTCTGTAACTCCAATTGCAGGGGACCCTACACTTGTCTAGGTGTGGGCACAGCCTGCACATGGTGTGCAGATACACATGAAATAAAAAGAAAAATCTCAGAACAAATTTTAGAAAAAGAGATCCCTGTTTAAAGTCACAGTCGGGAAGATCTAGAGCAGTGAGCAAGTCTCAACCTGTGGGTCACGACCTCCCTAGGCTTGAATGACCTTTTACAGGGGTCACCTAAGACCATCAGAAAAGACATTTACATTACAGTTCATAACAGTACCAAATTACAGTTACGAAGTAGCAAGGGAAATAATGTTATGGTTGGGGTCACCATGACATGAGGGACTGTATTAAAGGGTCACAGCATTAGGAAGGTCGAGAACCGCTGATCTGGAGGCTGTCTTCCCTTCATGCAGACCCCAGAACCTGGTGTGAAACTTGTCCTGGAGACACTGAAGGCAAGAGCAGTGCAGCGTGCTTCCAGGATATCTTAGTGCAGTCAGTGGTCCTGTATCGCTGCTGCTCCCTGCCGTCCTGTCTACTGCTGCAGCATCACGCTGCGTTCCATTCTTACTGACTCTGTAGCCTCTGCTTAGCCTCAATGGATGTCGTAACAGTGATTCCACTTGCTGAGCACAGCAGGGGCCACCTCTGGGAGCCAACCCCGTTACTTGATGGCTTACTTTTATAAAATACACATTCCCAGGGAGGGGGACCGAGAATACTGATAGATGCCACTGTGACTACAGCATTCCAGAGTTAGCTGTGTGACCTGTCACTCCAGGGTTAGCTGTGTGACCTGTCCCCAGCTGCTACCGTCCACTGTGACTACGGCACTCCAGGGTTAGCTGTGTGACCTGTCACTCCAGGGTTAGCTGTGTGAGTTGTCCCCAGCTGCCACCGTCCACAAGCTGCTTTACGAACAGTGCTGCTTTTCTCACTAACTCATCCCGAGCACGCTGTTACATTCTCTGACTTCTCTGGTGCAGTGGAGGGACCTGGTGGCACGCAGTGAGCTCCGATGTGCCCTTGGGAGATTGGCAAGGCTAACCAAGTCCCTAGTCTTGGCACTTTGTTTTTCTGCAAAGTAATCACTTAGTGTCTGTTGTCTTGTCTCCATTTGTGCACATTAGTGAAACCTTTTCGTAGTAAAACTGGCTAGTCAACCTTTACAGGTGAGGTGTGTGTGTCTATGGGCATGGGCATGAGTGTGGAGTCCACGGGTCAACATCGGGTTCTTTTGGGTTGATTTCCACCTTATTTTGTGAGACAGTCTCTTTGAACCTAGAACTAACTGGCTAGCCAGTGGGCTCCAGGATCTGCCTGACCTTGTCTCTCCAGGGCTGGGATGACAGATGCTCATTGTCACACCCAGCTTTTCCCATGGGTGCAGGAGATCAGAACTCATTACTGCACTGAGCTGTCTGCTCAGCCCTAGTCCTCAAATGCTTCTCTATAATTTAGTGGGATTTAAAACTCCATCTTGTAGAAGTGTCTTATTTTGGAATGGCCTCTGAAATATAAAGAGTGGCATTAACCATTTGCTGAAGGAATGATGTAGGCATATTGCTGTGGCCAGCTCTTCCCATCCTTTCCATGAGGGCTTTATTTAGCCCTTTTAGGTTAGACATGACATGGGTGGGCTTTCAGTTTTTGATGTTTTGACAAGGTCTTTCTACTTAGCCCATTGTCCTGGTACTGTGTAGAACAGGCTGGTCTCAAACTTACGACATTGCCTCCGCCCACCTCCTGAGTGTGTGGGATTAAAGTGTGGCCCTTTTGCATGTTTTAAGATGTATTTTTATTTATGTGCATGTGTGTTCTGGTGTCCTTGGATGCCAGAAGAGGGTGTTGGATGCCCTGGAGCTGGTGTTACAACTGGGAGCTGTCCAAGTGAACTTTGGTCCTCTGAAGGAACAGTGAGCACCCTTAACTGCTGAGCCATGTCTAGAATTTGCTAGATGTACTTACTTAAGGATGTAGTTTTTTCCTCCATGTAGTCACTTTCCCTGTAATTTGTTAAAGCTTCCATGTTCTCACTGTGCTGAAAGACTGTACTGTGTGACAACCTCATCTTCTATGTCCACTCTGCTACAGTGTCATCCGGGTGGAGACAGCCACTGTGTGCGGGACTGCAACCTAACATCCTGATCCCCACTTTTAAAATGTTCTTTGCAGGCCAGCAAGGTAGTTCTGCACACACACACACACACACACACACACACACACACACACACACACGCATACACACATTATACACTTGATGGTGCACTGTTTTTAAATACATTCGAGTATTCCAAGTAAACTTTGGAGTCATTTAGACAAATTACAATCCAAAACACCATTAGCATTTCAACTGAAATCACAGGAAACAAATATTAACTTGGGGGAAGACTAACAGACCACATTCTGTCAAATGGCTGGCAGGGTGCCAATTCAGATCTCTTCTGTGGAGAGTGAAGCTCAGGGATTTTTGTCTTGTGGGCTCTGTATTAGGAACTGTGCATTCTTTGGGTCATCTGGAACTGGCAATCCTAGGGCTACATAGTATGTGTCCTTATCCAAACTACTCGGAGAAAGAGAGTGGTTCTTGGCTTGAGAGAGGAGCTTGGTCATATTGAGATAATTTCCTTCTGTTGCAGAAGGTATTTACTGTCAGAAATACTAGAAGTGTTGGCTCTCAGCAAAGCTGTTCCAGTGTGTAAAGAAATCACTTTTCTGACCTCTGATGGGATGAATTCCGTTACTAAGCTTTCTAGCATTGACCTATCCGTGCACTCTTTAAATCCACCTTGCTTGGTGCTAGGACACTTCTTATACATGTTTTTAGGCTTGATTTGGTAATATTTTATCTTGGAATTATCCCATCGAGTCATCAATATGATTCGGTTGAAATCAGTATGCAGTGGCTTTTCTTGGCATCTGATAAAGAGCCAGGTTGACAGATAAGTTTTCCAAGATGCTCAACATCTTCTTTGCTTGATTTTCAGCTGATAGTGCTGGACCCACCGGTGAGTATTTCAGTGTCTCTAGATCAGACCTCAGTCACTTGGTGGCAGCTGCCAGAATGTAGGGATAAAGTGTGCCCTGAACTTCCCTGTAGTTATATAGACTTGGATTGCAAGCCTTCCAAGCCAGCTGCACCTAGCATTGCTGGCAGCCATTTTGTGTGTCTCAGGTCTGGGCTTGGCTGGCATTCTCTAGCTCATTGGGTCTCTTCCCTCACCTACAGGTGGAAGAAAGCGAGAACGAATGGTCTGTTCCTCACTGCTTCACCATCTACACAGCTCAGAAAACAATCGTGGTAGCAGCCAGGTAAGAGCCTGCCTTCTTCAGGATTCAGCTGCAGGGATGAGGGCTTCAATACCAACCCCCAGAGCCTCATGGGACTCGGCTGTTTCCAGGTTACACAGAAAAAGGGTATCTTCTCCCTGATGGGCGGGGAAGGATTGTTGATGTTGTTTTTCAGGAGACCACCCATAGTGCATCTGAGAGGGTGCCTGTGCCCAAGGGTTCATAGCGGTTGGTCTAATGGCACCAACACTCCAACCCCAAGGCAAGGGGAAATACTTGTCATGGTGAAAGTCAGCCTGGGGTCACAACACATAAGCAAACTGAGGCTTTCTCCTCTCTGGATTAGTGAGTTCTTCAGGTGCAGTTCGTGCTCAGTGAAATCTGTCTTGGCTGGTGCCTTCCACCAGGAAATGCCACCTTAACCATGAACCAAATCCAGTCTGTGTTTCAACGTTGAGACTTTTGATCACAAACCCCCTAGTTCCAGCACCAATGCCTGCTCCGCTTCTCAGCCCCTCCCAGCTCACCCTTTAATAGGCTGGAGGAGGCGTGTCTCTGACCATCCTTTAATAGGCTGGAGGAGGCGTGTCTCTGACCATCCTGGGGACCCAGGGGATGGAGCAGGGGCCCAAACCAGACCTGTGTCCTGACACAAAGGGCGAGGACTCGAGGCCCAGGGAGCTGCCCAGCCGAGGCAGTGAATCTGACTTTCTCCTTTGCAGCACTCGGCTAGAAAAGGAAAAGTGGACACAGGACCTGAATGCCGCGATCCAGGCAGCCAAGAGTGTTGGTGACACATCCCCAGTGCTGCTGGGAGGCCCAGTGTGTACTCGAATCCCCAGTAAGTTCTGACTCAAGACACCCAGGAGCGTCCTCTGTAGCTCTGAAAGCTTTTCTAAAAACTGCCTTCCTGATCTTGGCCAGCATGCCAGGCTCCATGAACTTCCCTCCATCACACAAGGAAAATAGGTGGCCACGCCCAGCTGGAAGAGTTCTCAGGCTATCCCTAGCACCATCTGGTTTTTGTCTGGCTGCTGACTTGGGTACCAAGGGCCTAGTTCCCAGATCCTGGAGGAGTTCATGGGTGTGTGGTGCCAGGCGCTGCTAACTCTCCCCAGGGTCTTCCGATGAGGTCTCTCTGGAGGAACCAGAAGATGTTCGAGGAACCCGGGGCTCCCTGGAAGGGAGCAGCCAGCACCGGGCCAACACCACAATGCACGTGTGCTGGTACCGCAACACAAGTGTGTCCAGAGCAGACCACAGTGCAGCCGTTGAGGTAGGCTGTCATGAGCGCACTGAGTCCCCACAAGTCTCCCCTAGTGGTGCGCTGGCCTCCTGGGAGGGAACCAGTACGACAGCTGCCTCCTGCCTCCTGCCTCCCTCCCCCCAGCAGAAACCGGTTTCGGTCTCACTATCTACTCAAGCTCTCTTTGAAAAGGGACTTCACACCAGATGTCACCTGGCGTTGTAGGGGGAGTCAAGGCAGAGAGCAGCAGTTATCTATGGTGGGATCTGGCGAAAGGCCCACTCTTGTCCCAGGACAGTGCTCTCCCGGGTCTGCCCACTTCCCTTTCTGGGCTCATGCTCGCCCCACACAGCGAGCATAACCCTCACATTACGCAGCCTAGCACCTCTGCACACCCATTCCTGGACTTGCTCCCTCCACCGGACTCCAAGTTCTCCACAGTCTCATCCCATTTTGTTGGGCCCAGGCTCAAGACTCCCCGTGAGATCCCTAACACATCAGAGTAGGTGGAGGACTCTTGGGAAACTAGGCAGCATATATTAGACACAGGCCCTGAAGAAAGGAGGGGTGATGGGCTGGCTGGGGTGTCTTGTCCAGTGCTATACTTAAATGCCTTCTCCCATAATTTCAAAGAGCCTTCCAAACTTGGTTCAATGTCATCACCACCCTCACGTTGTTTTCTTGTAAGTTTGTAAATGGCGTCCTTTGTCGGAAAACTAATTTTATTATGTATCAGGAAGAGAAGTATCCTACTTGAATGTTTGGGACATCCGTTCCCAGACTAACATCCAGTTGTCAGGTCTTAAGTATGCACAAATCATATTGATTAAAAAATGCTGAGCATTGCCGGGCGTTGGTGGCGCACGCCTTTAATCCCAGCACTTGGGAGGCAGAGGCAGGCGGATCTCTGTGAGTTCGAGACCAGCCTGGACTACCAAGCGAGTTCCAGGACAGCCTCCAAAGCCACAGAGAAACCCTGTCTCGAAAATCCAAAAAAAAAAAAAAAAAAAAAAATGCTGAGCATCAGACAGGTGGTGGTGATGCATACCTACAATCCCAGCCCTTGGGAGGCAGAGGCAGGCACATCTCTTGACTTTGGGGCCAGCCTGGTCTATGACTGAGTTCCAGGCCAGGGCTATAGAGAAACCCTGTCTTGGAGAAGACATGCAGAGACCTGTGTGGGGGTATTCTGGCTAGGTGTCAGGGTCATGGAGCTGGTGACAGCTGCCAAGAAAGGGTTATGGTGAGGGCAGAGTGCTTTTGCCTTTTCTACGGACAGAACCAGCTCTCGGGATATCTGCTGAGAAAGTTCAAGAACAGCAATGGCTGGCAGAAGCTCTGGGTGGTCTTCACCAACTTCTGCTTGTTCTTCTATAAAACTCATCAGGTATGTTGAGCCTAACTGGAGTGTAGGACAGAGAGTACAGGACACATACCTGCTTACCTATCTCCTCTTCCCGCTCTGATGCTGACTCCACCATTATAACACCTTTTCTATGAAAATGAATTATCCTTTCTCACATGTGGGTTCCTCTGTACAAGCTAACATTTTCTTGGGAGAATCAGTGGGATTAAGTGAGGGCTGGGGAAGGCCACAGAATACTGGGCTCCCTTAGTGCAGACCTGTCCCCGACCCCAGTGACCCTGTTCATGTGCTGACCTCCAGGATGACTACCCCCTGGCCAGTCTCCCACTATTGGGCTACAGCGTGAGCCTCCCCAGGGAAACTGACGGCATCAGCAAAGACTACGTCTTCAAGCTCCAATTCAAATCTCACGTCTACTTCTTCCGGGCTGAGAGCAAGTACACATTTGAAAGGTGACTCTGCCATGCTTGTTTTGGTCATTGCCATTCATAGAGCTAGAGGCAAATTTCCCAGTTCAGGAACCAAGGGTTGAAAAATGCAGGGTTTTGTTTCCAGTGTTTGTTCATGTTTGTATGTGAGCACTGGTGTACATATACACATGTATGCATACATACAGTGACCAAAGCACAATTTTACGAGGCATCCTTTTTATTTTAATTTTTAAAATTTTATGTACATTGGTGCTTTGCCCTCGTGTATGTCTGTGTGAGGGTGTCAGATTTCCTGGAACTGGAGTTACAGACAGGTGTGAGCTGCCATGTGGGTGCTGGGCGTTGAACCCGGGTCCTCTGGAAGAGCAGCCAGTGCTCTTAACCACTGAGCTTTTGCTCCAGTGCCCCCCCCCATTAGATGTTTTATTGTAGGGAGGGAACATGGGCATGTGTGTGGAGGTAATAGGACAACTCTGTACCTTTGTGTGGATTCTGGCTTGCATGGCAGGTACTGTTACCTGCTAAGGGTTGCACTGGCCCAACCTGCCTCCTCATTTTTTTGAGACACAGTGTTTCACTTGGGGCTCACTGTGAGGCTGGGCTGTCCAGTGAGTACCTCCCTAGTGCTGCAATTACAAGTGCACATCACACCTGGCTTCCTGCTCAGGTGCTAGGGACAAAACTCACTTCCTCATGCTTGGATAGCACACGTTCACTGACTAGCTCTATGCCTAACCCTGACCCTCCCTACAGGTGGATGGAAGTCATTGAAAGGGCCAGCAGCTCACCGGAGAGACCCCCAAGTTTCGCCCAGGACTGCTCCCATCTCTCTCCAGGGCTGGAGGCAGAGGTCAGAGAGAAGGAGGAATGTCCTTCAGCCTGCATGGACAAGAACCTATGACCGAGGCCTGCAGGGAGTGTAGGTGTCATTCCCAGAGCTGAGCAATGAGAGCCGTCATCCCACCACATGGTGGGTGGCACTGCCGACCTCTAGGAGGGGCTCTGCCCTGCCCCAAACTCCAGTGAAGGCTCGTGGTGACTGGAACACGTGTCTGAGATCCAGGAAAAGGAAAGCAGGGTTCCTCGGTTTGTTCTGAGTGCAGCCTGGTGGAGGACTGGCCGGAAGCCTCTACCTGTAGCACCGATAGCCAAATCCACATTGCCTTAGTCAAGCACTATACTCAGGCTTATGTGATAAGCTCAGGGTCAGCCTCCAGATCATAGCAGACAGGACTGCAGCAAAAGCTACTCTGGTTCCCATCCCCACACACAGTCTAGACAAGAGGAAACCAAAGACCCCACCACCACCACCAAGGCCTGGGAGGGTGGAGCCTCTCCTTATTAGTTCCTAGTATTTCTCACCAACTAGGGCAGGCCTATGACTCCTATTCACTTATGTGACTTAAAATAAAAGGACATAACCCCACCCACCAGCATCCTCTCTGCCTTACTTTACTCTCCAGCAGGCCACAAGAAACTATCAGGACATATGACAACATTTAGAAGGGACGCTAGCTCAGAGGCTACAGAAACCCCATCTGGCCAGGCTCCATCGTCAGAATGTCTCCAATTCAGGTCTTTATTGAAATGGTAGGGCTTTCAATGCTCTATGAAAACTAACACTGTCAGAGTACTTAGCAAGTTCAATTTTCTTTAAAAAAAAAAAAAGGGGGTGCAAAATATTCTAAACATTCGAGTACTCATGAGAACACACAGTACCTGAACTGACACCACAAGGCAAGTGTGACCATCTTGGACTCCTGTGAGCCCCAAAGACAATATTTCCCTGGTGTGGGGTGAGAGCAGAGCTGCCCAACAGAGCTTTGACCCTTAGTCTAGCAGCTGCAGAGGACCAGGATTCTAGAAGGTCACACCAGCTCCTCCCAAGCTGCTACCTGGGTCTTCAAGGGCTCCTGGCTGCCCACCACAGCTTCGGTGGACCCAGGTGGAGTGGCTGCTGGGTGGGCAGCACACGACAGTGGGGCAGAAGGAGGGAACCTGGCTTGTGAAGCCTACAGGCTGGCAGGTCTGTGCAGTTGCAACACAGCAGAGGGCTTCCAAGTCAGTCCTTTTAGAGCGCAAACCAGAGCATTCTTCTCCCTCTGTGAGCTGTGCGTCCAGTCAGTCGCTCAGCGGGTGGATGTCAGATGGTTCCTGCTGTGTGAGAACCTGTAAGCGAAAGGTACTGCTACCGTCCTGGACACGTGCTTCGGTGTGCAGTTCCCAGCACCCTTCCCAGAAGCAGCATCTCACAAGACACCTCAGGGTTTCGGGTCCCAGGATCAGTGCTGGCTACACCAAACCCTGCTGCTGCTAAGAGCCACCAGTGGTCTCTCACAGTACATTAACAGGGTTCGCAGGCCATGGGGGGAGGGACTGGTACACCTCCTGTAACAGTCTGGGACCCTTGAGCCTGTGGAGCTGCCAAGGAAGGGCCAGTGTCTGTCCTGGGTGTCCCTTCACAGACGAGTCAGCTCGGGGCTCCTCACCAATAGCAGGCAAGTCCTCAGCTTACAAAGTATCTGTGCTGTCCCTGGGGCACAGAACCTCTAGGAAGCCACCAAGTAAAAGGGTCAGAAGTCAGCTGTAGACATGCTGTGTCACTGAGCCATTTTGTGGACTTCTGTCCACACCCTGCCGGAGACTGAGTCCAATCTTCATGCACAGCTCAAAGCCACAAGAGGCCCACTTGCCTCTCCTCCTTCTCATGGGGGCACTCGCTAACCCTGAGAGAGGAGGACCAGCTGCTCCCAAGAGCCCCACGAGCATGCGCAGGTACCGGTCAGGCACGGTGCTCACCTCTGCACACGCTCCACCAGCTCCACCATCAGCTTGTCTGAGATGCCAGGGCAGGACTCCTCCGCCAGGCTGAAGGCATTCTCCAGCTCCTCCAGGGCCCCCACGCTCCCACCGCTCTGCTTGTGCTTCTCTTTGAGCTGCAGAGAGACAGGCACCCAACTGACATCCTACCTGAGACCCGCACCTGAAGACTTACAGAAGCACCTCATGTGGCCCTTCTCCCACGACCTGGGTTCTCAGAAGGTCACAAGTCAAATCAAGTGGGCCCCATCTGACTTAGATACGTACAGTAATAAGTACAGTAACCCGGAGCACATGACAAGGACTCTGACAGCCCAGATCAGATGCGGAGCGTCTGCAACCAATTCTGGGACCTCAGCCCGATGGCACTTCTACTTAGGGAGTCACCTTTCTGGCCCTGGGCAACACTGTATGCTGCTCATAACAGCCCTAAGTGGCTGTTTCCTACTCTGCTAATAAGGTCACTGCCGAATCCTACTCTACCCACTCTGTCCTCGGGAAGACTCTGCTGTTTCCATTCCTACATCCTATACTCCCTCTCAGGTGCTGCTGTCACCCACAGGGGTGGGAAGATAAGCCTACACTACATTTCTCTTTTGGTTTTTGTTTTTTTGAGACAGGGTTTCTTTGCGTAACAGCCCTAACCATCCTGGAACTCACTCTGTAGACCAGGCTGGCTTCAAACTCACAGAGATCCGCCTGCCTTTGTCTCCTGAGTGCTGGGATTAAAGGAATCACCTCCCTGGGACTGACCAACAACATCAATGACCCTTTGTCTTCCTCCACAGAAGAACCACGGGGAAGCTGGACATTGAAAAGAGTAGCAATGTAATGCTCATGACTTTAGCAGTCTGGAAACACAAAAGGGCCCTGGCCAGGTCAGTTATCCCCAGTGGTTTATGGTGTGGTCCTTTTTCTCCGGAAGCTGGACACACAAGCCTATGCATAACTAGCTGCAACAGATCCAGAATCCAAATGGATAACGCCAGACTCAAGGCCCACAAGAATACCACTCCATGGCTCTGCAGGGAGCACCTCTAAAGAACAGTGCTTCTACCCCACATGACCATAAGCTCAGCCCAACTCTCACCTCTCCAAAGACAGGCCGGACTAGCGTGGACAAGCACTGGGACCTTGGCTGTCTCTTGATAGGCTCAGTAGGCTGCAAGGGAGAAAGTGAGGCGCTGGGTACATGGAGGACACACGAGGGTTCCATCTCTCTCCTCAGTCTCTGGCTTACACAGGCTGACAGAGTCCACACCAGGGGTCAACTCCTAACTGTAAGCCATCAGTTCTCATTAGGCCTGCACCTGAGCGCCAGCAGACCCAGGCTTCAGCATGACTCCTAGCTAGCTCAATGCCACTGAGCTTAGAAACCACCTGCTTGCTCTCTGCTGTCCTTCCGAGCGCTTTGCCAAGACCCCATTTACTGTATTTAAAACAGCCTAGGTCAAGAGCACTTTGGAGCTGACCTCCTCAAAGCCTGGCACCCAGCCTGCAGTCCACACCTGCTGCCCCAGGGGAGTTGAGGCAGGCCTGGTACATACGGGGCTGTGCCCTGACACAGGGCGTGGACAGACCTTCTGTGAGCTGTGCAGGGCAGTCCCCTTGTGCAGCTTGCTGTGTGGGCTTGGCCGGATGGTTGGGGGAAACGTCCAGATGGGACCCTGCTCCCCATCCTCAGCCTCGCCATCACTAAAGAGAACAAAGAATCAGAGGAGCGATTGGAAACAGGGCTGGACATAACCATGGTACCCAGGTACATCTCATTTCTCTGAGGCAGCCTCATGGCCTAGGAAGCCCCAGGCTACACCATCTAGGTGACAGTTAAAAGGCCCTGCTCTCTTCAACATGCAACTGCCCCATATCAGTCCCCACCCTAGTAACTAGCTGAAAGCCTGCCACTGGAGGAGACTTCTGGCATCACAGCACCCAGGAGCCCTTAAGAAAAAAAACCCAAAAGGCCCTACATGTCAGAATCCTCAGAACTGGACTCCTCGCCATGCCCCTCAGACTTCCAGCGCTTGTAGCGGTCAATGAGTTCAGTGAGAAAGGAGGTCTTCTTGGTGTAGCGTGTGATGAATTTGTGCTTCAGGAGCTCCTTGGCAGTGGGTCGCTGCCAGGAAGACAGAGTCAGAGCCGAGTTCCACCCTCACAACAGACAGGCAGGACAGAGGGATGTGAAGGCTGGGCCCTGTCTCACCCCCACGTAACACCCTCCCTTCATAAGCTTCTCCAAGCCCTCAGTTGCCAGGGACAGGGTAGGGTGGGGGTGGGGAACAGGCCTTACGAATCGTGGGTCCTTATTGAGGCAGGCCTCTACAAACTCCTTGAAGGGTTTGCTGTGGTGGCCCTCCAACGTGGGTGGGTTATTCTTAGGAATCAAGAACAGGACTCGCATAGGGTGTAGATCAGAGTTTGGCGGCTCCCCCTTGGCCAGCTCAATGGCTGTGATGCCCAGGGACCAGATGTCAGCCTAGACAGGGTAGCACACAGGACAGTTGTTAATGTCACGTTTTGAGCGGGTGACAGTGTACTCCCACCTCCCATCCAGGACTCACCTTGAAGTCATAAGCAGACTGCTTGATAACCTCAGGTGCCATCCAGAAGGGAGTCCCCACAAACGTGTTCCTCTTGATCTGTGTGTCTGTGAGCTGCCCAGCCACGCCGAAGTCTGCCAGCTTCACGTCTCCCTGCTCTGAGAGCAGCACGTTGGCAGCTGCTCAATACAGGACAGGCGGCGTCACCTTGGCTCCTCAGCACTCCCCAAGTAGCCCTGCCTGTGATGGGATGGTATCCCTGGCCCCTGGGGACAGCAGCAGGGATGTCTTGGGACCTCAGCTTTTCTTGCCATTGTGGGCCAGTGAGCCACTGCCGGCAGAAGCAGACAAGCTGGGGGACCTACAGGAGCACTCCTTCCATTGCTACAGGGTTCCCCCGTTTGGCTTTCCTGACAAACCCCAACAACAGTGACATCCACACCACATCCGATCATAGTGACCTTAAATAACCAAAGAGCACAGCTGACAGGAAGTTCATCGCTAGGACATAAAGGCTCAGCCATCCTCACCAAGTCTCTTGTGGTGGGCTGGTCCAGCTCTGTGAGCCCTCATCAGGACTGGACCACACAGGAGTGTGGCACAAACCCACACCTGATGCTGAGTCCTGGCTCTTGGCTGTGTACTAGCTACACAACTGGTCTCCTTCACATAAGTAAGGCTGAGATTAGGTGGTGTGAGCTCAGGAAGGTTTGCCTAGGCTTGCCAAGTACCTCAGTAGCAGAATGTTTGCTTAGCATGTACAATTCCCTAAGTTCCATCCTCAGTGTGGTCATTTAAAAAGGGGGTTGAAGACAGATGGACACACACCCATTTCCGGGTGGCAGAAGGGTCCCCACACCCCAAGCCTTGGGCCCCACCATCTACAGGTTGCACGTGCCCATCTCTTTCTAGTCATGCGGAAGTGGACCTTTGATGTCTCTGTGGATCTTGCGCTCCGAATGCAGATAATCCAGGCCCTTCAGGATCTCCCGTAGGATGGTGGCAATGTAGGTCTCCTCCAGCGGACCGGGTTTTAGCTGAAGAAAGACAGCAGGGAAGAACCTCA